TTCATACTCCCAGATGTAATTATCTGGGGAGATGTCTTATGCTTATGGGGAAACCAAAGGAAGAATTCTTTTTTTTTATTTAAAAAAATTTTTATTAATGTTTATTTCTGAGACAGAGAGAGACAGAGCGTGAGAGGGGGAGGGGCAGAGAGAGAGAGCCCAGAACCGGGTTGGGCTCCAGGCTCCGAGAGTCACAAAGGAGCCCACACGGGCTTGAACTCACAGACTATGAGATCATGACCTGAGCCAAAGTCGGTCACTCAACCGGCTGAGCCACCCAGGCGCCCCCTGCCAAAGGAAGAATTCTCAAAGGAAGTGCCATTCCAGCTGGACCCTGAAGGTATGGATCAAAGATGGTGATGGCCATGGAGATGGGACAGTCGCTGTCCAGCCACACATTAAGACTCGTTCTGCTTGGTGTAGGGGATGCGGCATGTGCAAGGGAGCAATGAGCAAGAAGCTCTCTTCTGCCTCTGACACGAGCAAGGCCCCAAGGTCTACCCTGTGGTGCTGCAAGCTCACAGGATCCCCTTTTCCCCTCTTACCAGCCAACGTGGTTTTCATTTCAGCACACTTAACAGCAGCCTATTCTAATTGTCACTATGACGGAAGAACCCCTTAGTTTTGTTATCTGCATGCCTGATGATGGAAGGAGAGAGGGACCAGGCCCATCCTTGTTATTTATTCTCCCCTGCTGTGCTATCTGATGTGATGACTTCCTCAGTCCTCCCTCGCTCCCTTTGAGGTCCTCAGTAGGCAAACGCTGGCTACCGCGTGCGAGAGTACGGATGTAGGACATTTCCCTGGTCATAGAAAGTTCCCCTGGGCACCCTGTTCTACTTAATATTTTAATATGATCATCTGTGATAAATGTAGTAAATCAATTACATACAGGCGGTTTTATAGTATATTGATACTGAACATTATTTTACTGTGGTATCGAATATGTTACTCTCACTGTTTCCTGCCCTGGTAAACAAATTATCCAAGCAATTAAACTCCTGATTCTCTGTGACAGCCAGTGGTGGAAACTTCTGAGGTCAATGAAAAGTTTTCATGAGAATCAGCATGGGTTTTCTTAAGTAGTCATTAATCTTATTAAAACAACTTCGTTAGGCCGTAAGCCCACTAAAACACATTTAAACAAATGGGAAGTATGCACATTATGCGGGTTTCTCGGAAAGTCAAAGCAAATAATATATGTCATCTTTAAAAAGGGGTTTTACTCGATATGTTGCAAGTATTCTTAACGATTTCTGCAATTTCTTGGATGAAGCAGGGAGGACAAAGGAAGAGTGGAGACTTGCCTGAGGATTATGTTAACTCGACAAAATGAGAGAGAGAAACTAAAGATAAGGACAAAAAGGATAATGCTAAGGGAACCCTAGGGGCACTTTAAATGGGCACAGTGACTCACACTTTAAAAAGGGCCCCGAATGCTAGCTGTGCTTTTTAACTTCTGTCCAGAAAAATAAATAATAAGTAAGTAAGTAAATAAATAAATAAATGAACTTCTGAACGAAAGGAATGTACTTTACTTGTAAAATCATTACATCAGTAGACTCACCCTCGGGGCTTATGATAAAATAATCATCGTCAAGCAAAAATAAAAAAATGTATTGATAGCTGGGGTAGGGGGAAGACCTTAATTGTCTAGATGCTGTTCAGGAACATCTGATAAGGTCGGGTTCAGAGACTTGAGGGGTGTGGCTCATGTCTCTACACCAAGCCCTAGGCAGTAAGTTGAATCCTTCCTCCGGATTTTTTTTTCCTCCAATCTTTTTTTTTTTTTTTTTTTTTTTTTTGAGGAATAGTTTCACAAAATGCCCCACAAAAGGCGTGCTTCTGAGGTCAGATAAAGTCTGGGACGTGCTGTGCTCTCTACTTCTGTTACAGAGTCACAGAACTCTCTGGAAGTCCCACAGTGAGGTTTGCTCACCTTGGCTTAATTTAGCCTCCCTGAAAATGGTTTGGCGAAGGAATCCCAGGTATTTGGGCTTTACACCATGTCGCAGCCTGCAAACCATGATGGTGTTCTGTAAGGTGTCCCGAATCCCTCAGGGAGCCCTACGGTTTTGTATGAGAAAAGTCTGTGGTTTTAGGATGTTGAAGGATTCAGGAGTGAGTAGCATGATGTCTGCAACTTAATTACAAATGATTCAGCCAAAAACATATACATGTGTAGTATATGTGTAGGTATGTATATGTGCACACACACACACACACACACACACACACACACACACACAGACACACGGAGAAGGAGTGAGCTGAAAACATGGCAAAATGTCCACAACTGGTGAATGACAGCAAAGGATATAATTTCTAATACTTTTGAAGTATTTCTCTAGTTTTGAAATTTTATTCTGTAACAAGAGGGGAACGTTATAAACACCATCACAAGCTGTACTGGTTATTTTAGGGAGCGAAGGGGTCGCCATGTGGAGAGTTGATTAAGCAAGAGAAAGGATTTTTACGAGCCAGACAGAAGTGAAAGGGGAAGGATTCACGTCGTTGACTGGAGACAGGGACACGGCTGGAGAAAAGCTTTCCAGGGCATTCTTCACACCTCCTTGCCATTCCTTGAGAAGTTGTGGTTCCATCTTCCAAAGTCTGTGCCTCAGACCCTCAGTCAGGCCAATGGGAACATTGCCCAGAAAAACACATGGTGGTGTTGCTTGTTCTTACTCCTGTCCTGTGCACTGCAGACCTCGGTGTGACACAGAGAAGTCTGCCAACTTTAAATAGCGTGATGCAGCCAGACTAGCGATGAAGCCACCCTGAAAAGGGGATCTCAGGATTTACCTGAAAGCCCCAACTTCTGGACCACATAAAACCAACAGCTTGAAATTTGCCGTAGCCAGGGCTGGCCTGACCTTGATCTTCCTGGGACTGACTATTAATCCCCAGCTCGCAGCTGGCTCAGGGAAGCACGTGTAATAGATTGCACGTCACCTTATATGCTTCCAGGGCACAGACGTGGGCACGCAGTATTTTCTGACTAACTTCTCAAGGACTTTGGTGAAGGTTGCAGCACAGAAAGCTGGAAGAGTTACGTCCCCAGTCTTCGATTGCCGGTTGCTCCTGCCTTTATCATTTGCTGAAACAATATTGCAAACGTTGCTGTTGCCCTGAGGGAGAAGGAAGAGCCATTTAGTTTCATGGATGCATCATTTACTATTGCAAAGCTGTTGCTAATATGCTCTTTCAGACAATGCTAGTGTCTTTGCCAACCTGGCTCCCCTTCCTAAGCTCCTTCTCCCATTCCTGTTCCTCCTCCTCCTTTTTTCTCATTGTTTAACCTTTACAGTAGGTTATAAAAATTGTAAAATTGGATGTGTTCATATTTCTGTTGAAGGTTTTAACAATAAGGGCTCCTACCTCCCTCGCTAAGCTCTTCTTGGAACACAGTGAAACCGTCAGACAGAAATGGCCTTCTGATGTTCTGTCAGTTATTATGGTATTTCTATAACTTTACGGTCCTACCCATTGCATGTATTGAACTGCATAAACCTCATGAATCTATCTTATGTAATTATTATAGTTGCTAATAACAATGCGATACCTACAGACTTGAGTATCTTGTACGTTAAGGCACTAAGCTACAAAGAAGCGTCAAAAAAACAATATCTTACCAATACAAACATATACTTTACCTTCCCTTCACACTGGAGGCTAAATATTAGGCTACATATTAATTTCCGGAGAGTAATATTTATAAAACATATTGCTAATAAATGTTAACATAATACAGTTTGACATTTTTATTGTGCTTTACATGTTACAAAGTGTTGTCACTTACAATATCGGTAAAGATGACTGAACAAATGACAATTCAATATGTCTACAGATGTTGTTTTATAAACAAGTAAAAATAAATGGGGTTGCATAAGACTTAGGATCTCTTTTTGTTTCTCATTATTCTTGTACTAATTGTTTTTAATAAACCATATGCACTTGGGAGGCTGAAGGTTTTTTCTCATAATGATAAAAATATTCTTTATTATTTCTAGATGATCTTGATGATAATAGTAAAATTTTAAACAAAGTTTTTATGCCACTACATTTTATGTAATTCCTATGCAACAAGAAGTAAGGTATAAAGGTTCAAAGAACTATTTAATGTTATAAATTTTAAAAAGACAGTTATTTTACTAGCAAATGCTTCTAAATAAAGTGAGTTCTTTGCAGAAATGGCATCGTGACACTATTTGGAAAGGTTCCCCTAACGGACAGAATAGCACTACGTGTGTATGGTAACATTTGAGAGAAGTGATCAGAGATGTTTAGTTATTGATTTTTTTTTTTTTTTTTTTTTTTTTTTTTTTTTTGTCCAGCTTTTACTCTTGTGTTATTTGAAAGGCATTTGTCAAGGTAGATCCAGACAGAAGTGTGAAACACAAGGTGCCCATTTCTGCACACTGCGGCCGGGTTCCATTAAGCCCCTCAGGACTCTTGTCTTACTTTATGTGTGCCTGTGCATTGGAAAGTCTTCCCTGGAAACCCAGGAAGCTGTGATCAGGCCACTCACATCATGAGAAATGGGCTGGCGTGTCCCTGTAGATAAGATTTTAAGAGGAAAAAATCTAGAGCCCTTCAAAACTGTGTAAGAAGCATGAACTAGAATTCAGGAGCAGTGGTCTTTAAATTTCCAATAGTCCCTATATTTCCTGTGCTTTTAGAAAACCTCACCGGCACAGAATGCATCTAACTTCCCCGCGTGGCAAATACTCTTGGCTGGCTCTCTTGGCAGCAGGTTGCTAACTTTGCTGAGTAAGTCACAGGGCTGTTGGCAGGAAGAAGAAAAGATTTTCACTCTTTTGAGCATAAAACTAGATTTTCTAAATTAAATTGTTGCATCCTCGTTGGAATATTTATCCCGCTAATGTTTCAAAATGCTCCCGAGGAGTTCGTTTAAAAATTTGTCTCAATTTGGATTCAACGCTGATTGGCTACTTCCTCTGCTTTTTTTTTCCTACCCCCCCCCCCCCCCCCCCCAGCAGGTAGACCGCCTTACAACAGCTTTTACGTTTATTGCAAAGGCCCCTGCCAAAGAATACAGCCAGGAAAACTCAGGGTGCGGTGTGGTACCTGCCGACAGGCGACGCTCACCTTGGCCCAGGTAAGGAGCTACAGCATTGGCAGAAACTGCCCAGAAACATGAGTGTGTGTTTCTGGAGATGGCTTTCAGGGTTTTGAATCCAATAAGACCCATGGCTCAAGAAAAGAGACATTCTTCTATGCGGTCGTGATGGTTAATGGTATCTGAAGTTTCATTTAAAAACATTACTCTGTCAAACTTGAGGTAGTGCCGAGCCGTTGTTTCCCTATCTTTAATCCAGGCCTACTGAGAGGAAGTACAGAGACGCTTTTATAGCGAAAAGGTGTCGGGCTTTGGCGGGGGAGTCTTTTAGAAGAGGCCAGGAACTGGAAATGTTTCATGTCTTGTTCCGTACGACAGTAACATGGTTGTGTACGTGTGTCAAAATCCACTGGACGGTTCACTGAAAACGGGTGCACTCGGGGCCGCTAAACCTAAGTTATGCCTCACGGAAGAAGCAGAAAGGGAACTCGTGGATCGACAACCGTGTGCACACGGGTTGGGCCAGCCGCCACCTGCCGTGGCCTCCACTAGTGTGGCACAGCTCACTGGCTAAGAAGGATTTTACATTTTTAGGTGGCCAGGAAATATCAAGAGAATGCTGTGTGGCCCACGGACGTTATATGAACTTTAATCTCCGACCTCCATGATACAATTGTACCTGAAGGCCACTCATTTCCTTACGTGTTGTCTGTGCCGCTTCTGTGCCCACAGTGGGGTTGAGCGGTTACCGCACAGACTCGTTGCCCTGCAGAGCCTGGCGTATCTATCTCTGGCCCCCTAGAGAAAACCCTGATATAAAACGTGTGCACAGCTAGGCCATGGCTCCCCCGTGATGGTTGTGTAGGATTTGGCCAAAGTTGATGCGGATGTGAATGTGCGCGGGCACAGAGGGCATTCTGGTTGGTGCAGCTATGGGGGCTCAGCCAAGGAGGCATTAAAAAGGTCAAAGGTTTTCAGGCAACCAGGGCTGAAGTGGGGACAAGTACTTCCTGACCACAGTGCCCCCCCGCCACCCATGGCTACCACATTTAGATTTTATTCCACAGGCAATGGGGAGCCAAGGCAAAATGTTAAAAATAAAGGTGATTTATAAAATGACGTTTTAGAACCCTTTATTAGTCGTGTAATGGTTTGTCATTGGCACTGGTGTTGGTGACAGATTGAAGGCAAAGAGGCTTAATTAATAGGCTCCTCATATGGTTGGTGGGCAGTTCAGGGTGGTGGCCCATGGCATGGGTCTAACGGAGCAGCATGGTAGAAAATGAAGGATATACCCAGCAAAGGAGAAATCATGGATCCCTGCCTCAGGCCTGGGGAAGACGGTGGCATCACTCAAAGGTACAGTACAGTATTTCATCATCATACAACCTGTCAGCTCCACAGGGGAATCCTGTGAACTCCACTTAGGAAGACAAATCCTAAGTTTGTTCTGACTCTCTGGACTGGACCGTTTTCTGGGGGCATCACTAGGCAGCGCTTCTGTTTGTGAAATGGGTTCTCTTAAATACCACAGAAGTTTCTCTTCCACCAGAATCTCTCCTCTGCCACTAGCCTTTTCCAGTGCATTAAGTAGCCTCTTCTTTTTTTGATCTATGCTTCAGTCTTGATTGCCTCTGATGGTGGATGTGACCTAAATATACCAACTTCCAATTGTTCTTAGTAAAAACAGCAATAACAAATTATTATTGAAATCCATGCTTCATTATTTTCCTGCATTATGTAATTGAATTATTTCATAACACTCTTAAGTACCGTCAGTGACCTTATTTTAGATGCGAGAAATCTGAAGCTTGAAGAGATTAAGGAAACAAGAGTTTATGAGACCAGGGGCTTGAACCGGGCTGTGTGATCTAAACTAGTAAACTCTACAGTCTCCCCGTTTTTACTGCACAGATATATTCACACTAAATGTCATGTGCTCAGATATCCCCAGTGATCAGACAGGTGATTTAAGAATGGGTGAGAAGTGGGCATCTGGGGTGGTGAGGACCACGGTGGCTGAAGAGGCCAAGAAGCCACTCCCGCCACTTGTTAAGAAGTGGTTGGCTTAATGGGGGCAATCTTTTAATTAAGAGAAACTGTAAATGGGGATTTTTATGTGAAATTTCTCATATTAAAAATAGGCTCCGGGGGGGGGGGGAAATCGAAAACAAAAAGAAAAACAGCCTGCGGTGTCTGTGTAAATGCATGAACCAAAGGTGTATCGTATGGGTTAAATGGTACATTAACGTTGGGTGTGTAGAGGGCCTGGTGAGCGGTAAGCACTTATTTAGAGGGAGTGATTGTTGAGAGGCAGTATGGTGGGATCCTGAGAAGATGAGTCTGCAGACTCTTTGTACTCCATGGGTTAGAATTCATATTTCATTATTTCCCATTTACGTCAACATAAGTGGGGACATCTGTCCACTGGGATAATGGTATCTACTTCTTATTTCTTGGGAAGATTAATTAATCTATGAAGAGTATTTAGAACAGTAGCTGGAACATAAATAATTAGAAATCTTAAATGCTTTCTTATTGTTACTTTTTTACTATTATACTTAACACACACACACATACACACCCCC